GTGCGACAAGGAGATGTTATGTATAAGGAAAAGGAATGGGGAATGAGAAGGTGGAGGACGAGCAGAGGAGGAGGAGGAGGAGGAGGAGGAGGAGGAGGAGGAGGAGGGGGAGGAGGAGGAGGAGGAGGTGCGAGTCTGTTCGCCGCCGAGAGAAAAAGGGTGTGGGGGTGTAAGATCGGCGCAGGTTCGGACCGAACATCGTGAGGGGGGGGGTCTGGTTGAGGGAACCACAATGTACCGATACCGCTGCGCCCCAGACCTCTCCTGGGTACATTCTGAAGAGAATTTCGAGGCGGATCCCGTGGTGGCGACGAGGGTCTCCCAGGAGGCAAACGACAGGTATGGATACCGTTTCCTTCTTTGAGGTCTTGGGGCGCCGATGCGTCGTCCCAGAGAGTCGGGCTAAGCTTCATGGGAGGATGCAACCATGTTTCACTCGGGCATGTCCCTTCACAGGAGGGATATTCAAGAGCAGTGGGACAATAGTCGGGGGACGGTGTTTCCACTCTTTCTCGGCTATCCTTGAGCAGTTCTGGACTACTCTTGATTTGTTTCTGGAATCCACCTGCGGGAGGATATGCCCGACCTGAAGCTAGGTCACCTGCAGGGGCGCGAGGCTTCTCGCGCGCACTTGTCGCAAACCTGGCCAGACAGTTGTCCGTCCTTGCTGCGGGGTTGGCGCGGGAGTGCGAAGGGAAAGCGCACTTCGCGCTGCATCGCGGCGCGGAGGAGGAGGAGGAGGAGGAGGAGGAGGAGGAGGAGGAGGAGGAGGAGGAGGAGAGGAGGAGGAGGGAGAGGAGGGAGGAGGAGGAGAGGGTGTAGGAGGAGGAGGAGGGAGGAGGAGGAGGAGGAGGAGGAGGAGGAGGAGGAGGAAGAGGAGGAAGAGGAGGAGAAGGAGGAGGAGGAGGAGGGAGCGCGAAGAGCGCACTTCGCGCTCCCTCGCGGGGTCGGAGCGTGGACTCGGCATGCCCGTGCTCGGAGTGGCCACCCGTCGGGGGCCAAAGACAGAGGAGTCGGCAGGGGGCTCCCCGGAAGCCCCATCGCGCCGTTTGGTAAGCCTCGCAGGCACTCGCCGAAGCCACCGACGGCTTCGCGGAAGGCCTGCGGGGCTTCCGGGAAGCCCCTCCTCTCCTCTTGCTCCTCTTCCTCCTCCTCCTCCTCCTCCTCCTCATCTGCTCCTCCCTCCTCCCTCCTCCTCCTCCTCCTCCTCCTCCCCTCTCCTCCTCCCCTCCTCCTCCTCCTCCTCCTCTAGGTCCTCTAGGTCCTTGGCGCACCATGTCCCGCTGCTGCAACACATGGCACAAAAACTGTGGTAATAAACCACACACGGCACTTAGGGAAGGGGTCACTCTCTTTTAAGGGGGAGAGATCGTCCGAATTCCACCCCCGTAGAAGAAGGGTCCACCCCTCCTATGAGGAGGTCAAGTGATTGAGACGCACCCTTATTCCGAGGCCCTCCGTTGCAGGCCTTGGCGAGGAGGACCACCTTCTTAGTGCCGAACGCCCCACAGAGACTGCACCACACTCGGCCTCCTTCTCCGCTCCAAAGTCTGTGGGAAGGGTGGGCCAAGCGAGCTGGTCTGGGGAGGCCAGTACACGGAAACGCCGCTATGGCGCCTCTCGACCAATCACGAATTCCACAAATCACACAAGCGGATCTCTTGCCCGCTCGAACAATCTCATGACCATTTGCCTCGGACACGAGCTCCAACACCTCAGGTGCTTTGTACCGCTTCGCGCGGAACTTATCGGCATCATTCAAATTCAGCTTAGACAGAGCACCCCCGACCCCCGCAACCAAGACGGCACGGCCCCGCACCTGGAAATCCAGGGCCTTCAGTTCATTCAGCAGTTGCGGAGGGACAGGGTGCATCTTGGCTCCTAGCTTGGCTAGACGGTCTGCTTCTCGGTTGCCTCTCCAGGCCCACCAAGCACATCCCTGAGCAGACGCCTTAGCCCAAGACTGGTGACTGCGAATTTTCTCGACGGTAACAGGCGCAGTTAAATCTTCACACTTGCGGAACATCTCGCGCCAGACCTCGGCGTACGCAACATTGTCCAGGGTCTGGCCGATCCCTGCATTCCAGGTATCGACGACCATCTTGCAATCGCACACAACGTGCACAGGCTCCACCCCCACATTCCTGAGAAGCATGAGGAGAGCGTACACTTCGGCACACCCCGACTGCTGGATAGGGTGTGGCAGGGGTCCGTATAGGGCCCCGTCCCACCCCCCGTGGCGGTCGACCTGGACAATACCCCAACCAGCACGCTCCAAAGCGAGATCTCCAGGGGAAAGGGCCGAGCCATCGATAGCGACATTGCCACGGAAAACACCATAGGGAGGCAAAACGCTCCAAACCTGAGCCTCGTCCTGACGGGGGGGAGGGGCCTCAAAAGCCAGGCTGGGGACCAGGCATCTGGCGGTACCGATGTCGTAAGACGGTGCCTGCTGGAAATCTTCGATGGCCTCAGGCACGTCCATCTCTCGGCGGGTCATCCAGGTCGCAGGGCAATCGACGATCCTGTGCTTGGGCGTGCCCAAATCGCCGCAAAACTTGCACTTGGGGCATACCGCCCTCCGATCTCGGAAGAGGATGCTCTGCGTCGGGAAGCCGCCCGACACACATCCTGACAGAAACGCAGCACTCGCCACCTGGCCTCGGGAACGAAGCTGCCTCAGGACCTCAATGATGGGCTCCAGGCGAGGGGCACCCGATAAAACACTCCCGTGAAAGCTGGTGCCCTCCAAATTCTTCTGCAAAGCCAACTTGGTGCCAGAGAGGACCAGGGATTTGAGAGACCTCTTTTCCAGATACCCGAAGTCAAACAACATGCCCCTGGAGTCCTTCCAAACCACAGGATGGCTAGCAGACCAGCCCATCCGCAATAAAGTACAGTACACAGCACCCCCAGGACCGTGAACCTGATTCCAGTCAAACCCTGGGGCCTTCTGGGCAGCCTCGAAGATGCTCGTGAGGAGACTGCGGGGCAGCCACTTCTCACGCCAAGCTTGCACCCAGGACTGGAGGGGCAGTACGTTGGCCTGGTAGGTAGGGTCGAGGGTCGGGTCCGCGCACAGTTGGAACTCCAAGGTCCTCAAACGGCCTCGAGAAACTCCAAACGTACTCCTAGCAATCACCGAACGTATCTGCCTGAGCCTTTTCCTGGAGACTCCGTGCACCTTCGCGCCATACATATCAGCGGGGAGACCTCCAGTTTTCACAATACGCTTGGCTCCGATGGCAGCCGAGCTGAGGGCACGGAAACGGTGAGCTCGAGGCTGCAGCTTTCCAATGCGACCCAGATGTACCCTAGCACTAACCCTGCCTCTCACCTTGAAACCCACCCCCAGGTTTTTCGTAGACTGGCTGTGCCTAAACTTCCACCTCTTCAACTTGACAGATATATCCGTCGCTATCCAACCGTGCGTAGCTACCACTACACCCTTAGTTCTGGACACGATCAGGCACATCCGCTCGAGCTGCTGGCAGAGGAAGAAACTGGCGAGGCCTAGACCATTGGCAACTGTCTTGCCTTTCCCCGCCATGCACAGGGTGATGTCATCCACCGCGTTAAAGATTCTGACAAAACGAAACGCATCCGCAAGCACGTCGAGGGGGTCTTGGAGGAAGACTTTCAGGAGAGTGGTAGCGAACGTGCAACCCGCCAGGATAGCCTGAACCGCAAACACCCCACGAGAACACATCTTTCCCAGGAGAACGTGCCGTTGGCCCCGATAGACCGTCAGAAGATAACGGAGAATAAAAACGTTGAAACCGTGTTTGATGGCAGCCCTGACCAAGAGAACGTGTGCCACTTTTTCACAGGCCTTGGCGAGGTCGAGGAGGGAGGACGCGAACGACATGACTGTGTTCTGCGCAAACTCGCCCATGGCCGACTGCTCCCAGACCGCCCGCTCGCACGAACGGCCAGCACTGCCATTGAAATACTCTCGCTGGTGGTCACGTTCCCAGGAAACAGCGGCCTGACGAAGCATCCGAGACATCACCCGAACAAGCGCCGAGAGCAGCCCGATAGGCTTGTGACCCCCATCAGGTTTTTCAATCATCGCCACCAGAATGATCTTCATCTGACTAGGAACGTGACCGAGCCGAAGAATAGCCTTCCAGAGACCTGCCAGGGCGAGCAAACAGTCGTCACTGACCAGAAGGAGATCCCTCGGGTGGACGTTGTCGCTGCCCAGGGCGGTCCTGGTCTTAAACTTCCTGCAACACGCGCGGATCACGGCTGGGTCGAACTCCCAGTCCAGCATGCCGCTTGATTCCTCATCACTAATGCTGGCGATGTGGTCATTTAGAGCCTCGAGTGGGTCCTCATCAGGAACATCCCCCCCTGGAGTATTCCATATCCCCTCACACTCCGAGGTTAAATCGCCTAAAACTTCCTGCGGGCCAGGAGGGGCCTGTCCTGGGGTCGAGGGCTTCGAAGGGACCCAGCCTGTGGGGGCCTTGGTGTAGCGGTGTCCTAACCCCCCCCGTTTTTGACAGCTTCTTTGACCCAGCTCCTCCAGGCAGACTGACGCGACGAAACCTGCACGCGCTCGAGCCTGTCGGCGATGCGCCCTGCGTCTGTCGCCCAGTGGTAGAGCTCCTGAGCAGAGGCGTCCTGCAGCACGGCTCGAGAAGGCTGCCAGGAGATCCACTCCTGGCAGTTCCTAAGGGTGGGAGGGCCTCGGACGATCTTGTTAATGATACACTGGGTATCACTCCCCAGCCAAGACACCCCCTTGTTTCTAATATAATGCAGCTCCAGGATCCAAATATGAAGGGAACGCCACCCCCTGGCCAGAGCACACCCCACAGGATACGGACCCCCAGTGGTCTGAATCTCGGGAACGGTCTGGATTTTCGGACCCTGGACCCTGCCGCGGTATTGTTCCCCGAGCTCCTGGTCCAGACAGAAGACCCTGCACATTTCGTCCTCGTATAATCCCAAGAACTCGGAGAAAAACAGCTGGAGCCTGTGAACGTCAGGCGCTTCTTCGAGGCGAGCAGCGAGCGTACCCCAGTCCACCGGCGACGTCGGAGGCCCGAAGGGAAGCTCAGCTCGATCCCGCGGAAAACTCTTGGGGCTGAACAGGCGCGGCACCTCAGGCATCACGGCCTTGTGACGCATCACGAGCTGCACGGCCCAGTGCGGCTTCAAGGTAGAACCTCGACTGCGACGGACTGAGGTGACTGAATTGGCCAACCCAGGCGAGACCAAGAAGTAGTCAAGAACTTTCCAGACTTTACCACATCTGCACGTAGGAAGAGACGGCGCACATATCGTAGCACGAAGACGAGATTCCCACCCACACTCACGAAGGGCTTGGGGGGTACAGTTTCAGTCTCCACCTATGACGTACGGTAATCTCCACCCATGCAGAAGTTCCCCTAGCCTGGCTAAAAGATGAGACCCCTCAGGCCCCAAGGCCATTCCCCCCGTCGGAAGGTAAAGTGAAACAGCTAGGAATCCCCCAGGGACATACGCATTGACCCAGCATATGTGGACCCTGTGGGGGCTCGGAAGGCGTGGATAACTGGCCCCAGGCGGCAGGCTTATCCCGAACGATCGACGACATCCGACACGGACACCACTCGAAAGCCCGCCGTCCTGGGTGACAACAGAGGGCCTCAGGCTGCACTGCCAGCCTAAGGACGCCAATCTAGATTCAGCCTCTTTAATCTGGAACCGAGCTCGACCGATCTCCTGAGTCAAAACGACATCGGCCCGAGATTCAGCAGCCAAAAAACGACAAAGAGGCCCCCAACCCGAAGAGCTTGCAGTCTCAATCACAAACTCACTTCTGCGCTTCGCAGCCTGCAACTTAGGAGGAGGGGAAGGAGGAGGAGGACAAGGGGGAAGGATGCAGGCAGCTGGGCGCAGACACTGGTCAAACTCGCGATGGGCTCTCGCCCGTGGCCGCCAGAGCTGCCTTGGCACGCGCCAGGGCATCAGGGGCAGGCGCCTCAGTAGACGGAGAGGCCACGCCGCCGCCGTCGGAGAACGCCTGCTTCTCCACGGCCGCGCCCTCGGGAACCTTCTGCTCACCGCGGACGCCATCACCTCCTCCTTTACGCTTCTTCTTGAGGCGCTCCGAGTGCTCCTGGTGCTGCTGGACCAGGGACTCCGCCTTCTCTTTGACCGAGCTGAACAGATTCTCCGTGACAGACTTGAGCCCCTCGGCCAGCAGGCGCTTCCTCTCCTCCAGCTGGGACGTGTCAGTAGCATCCAACTCCTGCACATCTCCCAAGCCGAGGAGGCTCTCGTCGTCGACAAAGATGTCCTGGATGTTTCCTTCCAGAATGTCTCGAATGCACAGCTTCGCTGACACTCCATGCGTCGGCGCCTGCTGCTGCGCGCCCAGGGTCTTGGCGTGCAGCGCGGCCACCGCCTGCTGGTACACGGTCTTGGCCTCCTCGACCTGGTCGACCAGGCCCGTGACCACCTGCTGCTGCTCCGCGTGCTGCTGGGTGAGGCGCTCGAGCTTCTCAGTCGCCTCCAGCAGCTGCTTCTCCACGTACTGTAGTTTGGCATGCGCCTCTCCCGCCACATCATGCGCTGCACGTCCTGGCTGAGAGCGTCGCACTCGTTCCTGTTGACAGGCACTGATGAGCTGGCCATTGTTCGTCTTGCTTCCCAACTGCTCCAAACTCTGCAACTCCGCGTCCGTGAGGTTCTTGAGGTCTTGGCCGCCGCCGCAGCCGCCAGGTCCTCGGGCCCCTGTACGCCAAGGAGCGAGGTGTAGACCAGGAGGAGGAAACACACCTTGGCCCATCTGACCGCCAGGCTGGCCCTCTCGCGGCAAGAAGACCTCTCCCGACGATCGTGGCACACCACAGTGTTTGCACCAGTCCCAATCTGCCTGATTATTTCCGCAACCACAGGCACACTTACACCTGGCGCCGACAGAGTTGTGCCAGCCGCCCGTGTACGTCTGCTGCGCTGCGTATTTGCCTGCACCTTTGCCCGCTCCTTGCTGCCAGCCCTTGCTGAACGACATGGCTGTACGCTCTGCAGGGTGCGAAGCGAAATCCTTCCCGCTGGCGGGCCTCTGGCGGCCCTGGAGAGCGGTGCGTGCAGGCCCTGTGCCCGGCGACTCGAGCCCCAACCCCAGGGGAAGGGACGCCCCCAGGCGATGGCCTTGAACCAGCTACGGACCTCCTCCTCCTCCTCCTCCTCCTGCTCCTCCTCCTCCTCCTCCTCCTCCTCGCTTGCCCCCCCCCCCCCCTCTCAGGGCGCGCCTCGGAGCCAGAGATGACTATAGCCCATGGCCCACACTGGAGCCGCTCTGGGGTCTCCCCGGGGCCCCACGGGTCCTCGGTGAGGGGACGCCGTGTGGACGCCGTCTGGGCACGCTGGCTTGACGTCGCTCGGGCGTGCGGCTTTTTTTTTCGGCCAGGACCATCGAGGAGGATCTTGAAACACCTTGCTTCGATAGCAAGTCATGGCCGCCTGGTGTACCCTCCTGATTCCGTCCCTAGCGTCGATTCGCGTCTGTGAGTCGATGAGATTGCGCTGATTTAGAGTCGGCTAGCGCCGATGAGCGTTGTCGCAAGAGCCGACAAGATGGTATGGGAGGCTCCCATGAGCTGCCACCGAATCTTGGGAAAGAACACGCACGAAATCGACAATCGAATGTGGAATGGACGTCCGAGCGATGGCAGGCTGGGCAGCACCCGACAGGCGCCGCCCATCCTGGGGTGGCGGGTAAGGAGGCTTGGCCGCGCGAGCTTTCCAAGTCGCCACCGGGACCGGAGCCCCCCCACCGCTGGACAATTCCATCTTGTGGCGCCGCTGCTCGTCCACCAGAGGTCATCTACATCGTGAGGCGCGCCTTCTCGCCGCCGCCTTCCTGCTCCTCCTCCTCTCATCGGTCGCGTCCTCACCTGTTCCCCAGCCATCTTCTCATAATTATGGGTATCGTCTTCCTTCACCTTCTCGTAAGTGTCGTCGTTCTCCTCCTCCGCCTCGTTGGATTGAGGAATGGGCTGTTGCATAGGAAGGGGAGAGGAAGTCGGAGGATAATGATGAGAATGTGGAGGCGGGTGGGGGGGTCATGTAGCACGGGGAGGGTCGGCGGGGATAGGAGGAGTGAGGAGGTGGGCAGACGGAGGAGGAGGAGCAGCAGCAGGATGAGGGGTAGTTCTCTGGTCGAGGACAAGGAAGACGACCAGCAGGGGGAAGGGGGAAGCAGTGGGGATGGGGGTGGATGGAGAGGACAGAAGAAACGAAGAGAGAGAGAGAGAGAGAGCGCCTCCTTCTCCTCCTCTTCCTCTTCCTCCTCCTCCTCCGAGAGGGAGAGAGAGAGAGAGAGAGAGAGAGAGAGCGAGAGCGAGAGCGAGAGAGGCACGGCGACAAGTACAGCAGCTACCCCCGCTGCAAGCCGGGCGAAGACCCCATGAACGGCTCCATGTGTTTCGACGACGAGGCGATGGGCGACAACCCCCCGCTGACGGAGTGCGGGGTGATCGGCTTGCCCTCCTCCTCCTCGTCCTCGTCCTTTTCCTCCTTCTTTTCTTCCTCCTCGTCCTCCTCGTCCTCTTCGTACTCCTCGTCCTCCTCCTCGTCCTCCTCCTCCTCCTCTTCCTGAGGGGGCGCCAACTATCCACCTGCGCCGATGCTGGCCACGCCAGGTACCCATGCCTCTACTCTTCCCCCTTTTTGGGCCTCCTCGGAGGCTTTCGTTGCCACCCCAGGAAGAGGAGGAGGAGGGGGAGGAGGAAGAGGAGGAGGAGGAGAAAGAGGAGGAGGAGGAGGAGGAGGAGGAGGAGGAGGGCGAGGACGAGGACGAGGACGAAGAGGAGGAAGAGGAGGAAGAGGAGGAAGAGGAGGAAGAGGAGAAAGAGGAGGACGAGGAGGACGAGAAGGAGGAGGATGAGGAGGAGCAGGAAGATTTTGGGCCCCCTCGGAGGCCCTCGCTGCCACCCCGAATTTCGCCTCGAAGTCCCGGTCAGAACGCACCCTGGGCGAGGTCCGGGCAGTAGCGGTATCGGTGACCTGTGCTCTCCCCATGGCCACCTGCGCCGATGCCGGCCACGCCGATCCTGGGCTTGGGGCCAATGTGCTTCACCCGAATGAAGCAATTGTGCAGATTTGTGTTAGCCAGCGTGGGTTTTGACCAGCGATTTTTTGCTATCGATGTGGTGTAGTCCAGGTGGTGCGATCGGTGTGGTGCAGTCTAGGTGGTGCAGCCCATGCGGTGCAAACTCTGTGGTTCAGTGCAAAGCAACGCAACCCAACGCAACCTAAAGCAAGGCAGATCAATGCAACGCGATGCGAAGCAAGGCAAGGCAGTGTAATCCGGTGCAAAGTAAAGCGAACCAATCCATGCCAAGCAATGCAGAGACATGCAAGTCATTGCAGCGCAACGCAAAGCAATGCCCCTATTCTACGGTTTGCTGTGCTGTGCGAGTTGACGAGTGCGAGTGGACGAGCGCACGTGGCGGCGACGGCTGGCGGCGACGGGCGGCAACGAGCCGGCGAGACCAGGTTTGGGGCCCACTTGCCGTAGAGCACACATATTTGGACGCCCGAAAGGGGTACGGAAAAAATGGGTACAATGCCCAACAACAAATGTTGTCCCAAACCATCAGCGGCCGCTGTTGGGCAGGCGGCCTCCTGTCTCGACTGGGCCTGCGCGCCAGGGAAGGGGTCCTAGCGCGGACGCAAGAAATTCGCGCGGGCCTCCGAAAGTGTATGTCTGTGCCTCGAGCAGTGGCGGAGCGACCTGGCTTGCCTACAGGCCCACCAGAGAGTGTTCTGATTCAGAGCCTTTTGTGGTCTGCGCGAAACGTTCTTAGAACATGTTTGGCTGAGACTGTCTTGTTTTAACCCCAGTGGGTTTATGTTCTAAGTGCACTGTTTTTGTTTTCGGGACACTTCTGGGTTCTACGAACAGGTCGTGGTAGGCCTATAGGAATGCCGGGACGGTTAATCCCTTCTCAAGTGCAGGTTTCTTTGTTAGCACTGCTTTCAGAGCTGCAGAGGCCTCGCCGAGCGGGCACATCGCACATCGTAGAAAGAGACAAAGACATTGCAAGTAGTAAGTCGGGCCTGCCCCTCTACAGGGGGAATATTCAAAACAATATATATATACATATATATATATATATATATACATATACACATATAAAGAAATAGTCTGGGCACGATTTCTTGGGCTTTTTTTGGTGCTGTTGCGCATGTTTGGGGTATTTTCAATTTTCCGTTCAAGCTCCCCCTGTAGGGGAATCTTCAAACCTGTCCAGAAATAGTCCGGGGTCGATTTGTGTGACCATTTTGTAGCTATGTTTGAACATATTTTGGGTAGTAAAATGTGTGGTTCAAACTTCCCCTGTAGGGCTGTCGGTGGACATGCCCGACCTAATGCAAGTATGTAGAAGTTTTCAGCACTCCTCGCGGATTTTCGTTGACCGGCGCTGGCCCCCCCCACTGGCGGTGCCTCCGGGCGCCGCCCTCTTCGCGCCCCGCGCGCCATGGGAGGGCCCCGTCGCGTGCCCAAGGGATCCGCGCTCACCCCCAAAAAGTTCATGTTTATGCATCTGCTTGCCTGGAGGAGGAGGAGGAGGAGGAGGAGGCGGAGGAGGAAGAGGAGGAGGAGGAGGAGGAGGGACAGGAACAGGAACAGGAGCAGGAACAGGAACAGGAGCAGGAGGAGGAGGAGGAGGAGGAAGGAGGAGGAGGAGGAGGAGGAGGAGGAGTATCAGGAGGAGGAGACCCAGAGTAAACCCAGAGCGCGTCAACCCAAAGCGCGTCAACTCTGTTGCAATATAAGCCCTCCCTCCAGGATCCCTCTTCCTCACCTTCCGAGGCCTGGCCAGGCGGGCACCTCCCCAGGGAGCGGCGGCTGGCCCGGCAGGGCTCGGTGCAGGCGGACTGGCCCCCCCTACCCTCCGCCCCCCCCCCCCCCGAGGTGTGAGGCAGGCGAACCACACGGCAGGCTGCTCTTGCGCTCCTCCTCTCCTCCTCCTCCTCCTCCTCCTCCTCCTCCTCCTCCTCCTCCTCCTCCTCCTCCGCCTCCCCCCCTCCGTGCTCCTCCTCCTCCCCCCCGCTTGCGGTCAGGAACTTCAGCTTCGCGTGTCGCACCGCGGCTGCAGGCTCACCACGCTTCGGAGCGACACGGCATCCACTTCCCAGGCTCACCACCCACCAAACCACCCCAACTCAACCCGAAGGCTCAAATTTACCGTCGATTTCCAGTGGGGGGGGTCGGAAGACATAAAAAAACACGTGGAACCCTTACCCCCCCAACCCGAAATTGGGGTCTTCGGGTTGGGTTGGGGTGGTCTGGTAGGTAGTCACAGGCCCCGCGCGTCAACGTCCCAGGGCCGTTCCCAGCCTCCCGCCCCGCGGGGCGGAGTGACGCGCTGTCCGCTGGCGGGGCACAGCGTGTCGCCAGGGCTGCCGCCGCGACACGCTGAGCAGCAGCTGCTGATCGTATCCTCTCCCACCAGATCTCCAGCGTAACGGAGAAAACAAGAGAGACGTTTTGCATCGGTTTCGGCCTCTGGGGGCTCTCGCTAGGCCCTGGGACCGTCAACAACACGAAACAGGCAAAACATCCGGCCCTGGGGACTGGGTCCTCACTTCTAGGGGCTAAGTATTGGAACACATCCAGTCGTCGGACTTCAGGGCCCTTCCCGGTCCTCTCTGGCCCCTCCGCCCTACCCGACGCTCCTTCTTCTGGACTGCCAGGCTGGATCATGGATCAGGCTGCAGAGCGCGGCATCCAGCACATTGTCGCCTCTCCCTTCACGCGCACCCTAATGACGTCCCTGGCGCTGTCAAGGCTGCTCGGGAAGCTCATCGAGGTGGAGTACCTCCTCTCGGAGGCCAGACAGCCCGAGGGACCCTACAGACCCTTCAAGCCAGAGAGGGAACATCGGCCCCGCGGTGGTGGGGAACCTCGTCGCCAGAGCACGAACAAGCATGCACGAAGGTGTTCAGCGCGGCCTGGCATGGCCTGGCAGCGAGGGCGTGGGCCGACCCTGTCACCTGCTGGTGCGACTTCTTTCAATCCGCGGTGCCCGAGGCCCTGGCCGCATCACCCCGGGGTAGTTTTAAAAGGGCCTGCCCCTCTGCAGGGAGAATATTCAAAGATAGTCCAAAAATAGTCGGGGGCGATATTTCTACCACTGTTGACCATTTTCAACTTTTCGTCGAAAATCCGCCTGTAGTGGGACACCCCCGACCCAATGGCACGACTTCTTTCAATCCGCGGTGCCCGAGGTCCTGGCCGCTTCCCCCCGGGTAGTTTTTCGTCCCGGGTCCAGCTTTGATAGCCCACGGGCCAGATTCCGGGCCCCAAAGCCGAAGTCGAGGAGAAATGTTGGGATTGGAAAGATCGCATCGTCGGAGGTCCAGGTTGGGCGTGGGCCGATGTTGGCTCTCCGGGCGATGTGGAGTTGCCAGCATTCGCCGTGAGCCAGCTGGAGGAGGTAGAGGAGATGTGGGACCCGAGCTACGGCAGCTCTCCGATCAAGACGCCCGAGGACGTTGACCAGATGCACAGCGACGGGGGGCGGGGGAGGCGACGTCATGTGAGGTCATGTGAGTCGTGTCGCGTCGCTGGTTCTGGCCCACTTCGCTTGGGCGCGGCGCGGTAGCCACCGACGCCCCTCTCGAGCATCAGCTTCCCGAGCCGTTCCAAGCATCCCGGCCCGCGGGGCGGAGCGACGCGCTATCCGCTTGCGGGGCATAGCGTGTCGCCAGGGCCGCCACCGCAACACGCTAAGCAGCAGTTGCTGACGAAGCTGGTCCAGGCAGAAGCGGGGCCCGGACCATTGGTTTTTCTCCCTGGGACCAGCTGTTCGACTGGAGTCATTTTGATGACTGTCCTGCACCCTTCCGCGAAACTGATAGCAAGTTTTGCCTTCCCATCCCTTGTTCCCCCATTTAATGTTCAGTGGCGCACGCGGTATGGTCTGCTGACGCCGAAGAAATATGAAGTCATATGTTCTGGACGAATTAAACATTGAAAGTTGGGGGCTCGGGTGCGTCGACATTGCGCAGGCAAATCTTGCTTTAAGGTTCGCGACATGATGTGGAACCCTCATGAACCCGCCATAGGAGGGACCAGGCCCGAAAACTCTGAGAAGTTGTTGTTGACCCGTTTCTCTCAGGACTCCTCTTTCCGTCATGGCGGGCACACGCCCAGCCGCGGATTTGTTTTGTGCCGGCCCTCGGCCCCCTCCCTTGCGTGTGGGGGGCGGGGTGCGAGGGGGGATGGCTGCGCTTGGGGCGGGGAATCCGTCCACTGGCGTCCGAAGTATGTGCGCTCTGACCCCCCACGCTCAGTTAGGCTGTAACTTCTGGGAGGGTCAACTCAGCTTTGCCGCTGATGTCGCCTTGGGTCCAATCTGGCCGAGTCCAGCGCAACCTGGCTCTGCTCCGTTCGATCGGGCCCAATGCGGCTTGCTCCCGAGCCAAACTTGATCCAGTCTAGCTAAGTGGCCACCAGGTCGGGTGTAAGGCCATGTATCGCAACCGTTCATGATTAGACCTTCGGGAGTTGCCTACTGGGTAACCTGGGGAGGGGAGGAGAAGGAGCCCCCCCCCTGGCCCCCACGCGCTGCAGTCAGTCCTCGCGCCTCCATGAGGAGCGCGAAACCGGGAGCACAGGAGCTTGTCCTGGCCACGGCGAGGCTCGGCCGCGCACCGGTCCCCGACCTGGACGTGCCCGGGGCGGCCCCAGGGCCAGAGCCCCCACCCCCTGAGCCCAGAGTGGTCCAAGACGCACGCCTCACACACCACACCGCAGGAGGAGGAGGAGGAGGAGGAGGAGGAGAAGTAGGAGGAGGCGGAGGAGGAGGAGGAGGAGGAGGAGGAGGAGGAGGGAGGAGGAGAAGGAGGAGGAGGATGAAGAGGAGGAGGAGGAGGAGGAGGAGAGGAGGAGGAGGAGGAGGCGGAGGAGGAGGAGGAGGGGGAGGGGGAGGGGGAGAGGATGAAGAGGAGGAGGAGGAGGAGGAGGAGGAGGAGGAGGAGGAGGAGGAGGAGGAGGAGGAGGAGGGGAGGAGGAGGAGGAGGAGGAGGAGGAGGAGGAGGAGGAGGGAGGAGGAGGAGGAGGAGGAGGAGGAGGCGAGCAGCCAGCAGGAGTTCTCCGAGAAACCGAAAAACCCTGGAAACATGGAACCCCTAGCCACTTAAGGCGGGAGGGGGAGGCGATGCCTCAAGATGAACGAGTTCAGGCCAGTGGGGGCAACGGGTGTGAAGAGTGCAGCCTCTCTGCCCCTCAGCCGCCCTGTAGCGTCGTTACAGCCAGAATGCACGGATGGACCGGTACACCGAATCTGCACGGATGGACCGGTACACCGAAATCTTAAAGATTTGCATTCACAACTGGGCCCCTGTCTTGGGGTGGCGGCCACGCTGCACCATGTCGGCCTTCCGCTTTTGGTTGGCCCTGGTGGCAGGATTGGAAGACGGCCCCGCACACTTCGAATTCAGATTCGAACGACCGCTCCACCCCTCCTCCCCCGACGCCGAGGCCCCACACTGGGTGCAGCAGACCATGGCACCGTGGGTGACTAAAACGTGATTTAGCTCCCTGAAGGCCTCGAGCCCATCTGGTGGCTCCCCTGGCGGCGCAGGCACGGGCCCCAGGACCTCCTCAGCTGCCGCCAGGGCCTCGGACACGCACGGACCCGTAACAGGACCCCTGAAATCGCGAACCACCAGACCTGGCTTCGAGAAAAAGGACCTCGCGGCCCACGCTTGGGTGGGCAGAGGCTTACATTCATCATTCACAAGGTGGGCAAGGTGCCCGCTTGTGCGGGCAACGCACATACACTTGCGGCACCGGACCTCCATTGAGGGCTCGACACGAACGAGGGAGTGCGACATTAGCCTGAGAACTGGCGGCCCACCTATACAAGGACGCCTGGGGACGGCCTCGGGCGGGTCGTGCCAAAGGTCGAGCTCGACCGCTCGGCTGGCCGCCCAAGAGACATACTTCAGGATCGCCTTGGCACGCTGGAGCTCCGACGAGAGGTACTCAGCGTGCACCGACGACACAGCATGCGCTGACGCCCCGAGCTTGGCAAACCAGTCGGCCCACAGATTCCCCACCCACCACCTGAGAGGGACCTCAAGAGAGAGGGCCTCCTCGGGGCTCTTGTGGGCTGGGGTCCAGCTAAACCTAGGGGGCGCTCTGGGACCAACCGCCCCGAAAATGAGCCTCCAAATCCGAGCATGCTTGCCTCTGGAGCTCTCAAGGGCGGGGTCCCAAGACTCGCCCTCAGACACCAAACTCAACAAATCACTCACGATGTGCCGCGTGGCAGACGCGTGCTGGACAAGACGAAGCACAGCCCATCTCTCAGCTCTGCCTACTGTCTGGATGCCCGGGAGAGGGCCGTACATGGCCCGGGCAGGCAACAAATGTTCATCAATCTGAACTGCGGACCAACCGCAGCGCGTCAACTCGGGCTGCGCCGACTCGAAGCCCGAGCCATCCGTGCACGACTCAGGGCCCCACGAAGCAGGCTCGGCGTCGCCCCAGAAGAACGTCGGGAGCGCGTTCTCCGCGGCCTTCACCGCGAACGCGTGCGGCACGCCCGGGAGGCCGTACCCGCACTCCAGGTCGTCGAAGTGGCACATCGAGCCGATCTCCGCCAACATGGCTCTAGTGGCTTCGAGGGCCTCGGGCAGCGGAGGGAGGGAGCTCCCCGGCGGCACATCCAGCAGCTTCGGGCAGCCCAGCCAGATGTGCCCGTAGTTGCCGTACTCGGCGCCGCACGCACGGCAATGCAGCTTGCCATAGCCTTCCACAGCTGCCCGCCGCTCAGGAGTGAGGTAGCGGCCAGACCACAGCATCTGTAGCGCGCCCAGCTGCCTCGGCGGAAGCGCGCGCAAGCCGAGGCGAATGCCTCGGACCCACACCTGCTCGTCGCCCGAGGCCAGGTGCATGTGCCCCAGCAGCCTCTGCGCCTGCCACCGCTCGATGGACCTCATCAAATGGTGGCGAAGGTCCTCTGGCGGCACGCGCAGGAGCGAAAAGACCTCGCCCGTGTCGGACCTCACGTGGGCCGAAGAGAGCATCTCCCAACCTAGCCTCCGCAGCGACAGCCATGTGGACGTGAGCGGCCCACGCGCCGTGCCGAAGGTGGTGCCCTCGATCTTGGCGTGGGCCGCGTCCCAAGCCTTCTGCAGCCTGGCGCCGGACGTGCGGCCGTCCCACAGCCAGCCCGCATACCGGAGGATCAACGGCACCGAGACGTCGTAGATCGGGTCGAAGCGCGGGCTGGGATGCGTCAGCAAGTAGGCCGTGCATCCAGCGCCATGCCTCCACCCATTCAGGGTGGCCGCAGCGCGCCGGAGGTGGCGAAGCCGATGATCCGCCATGCCGCTGACGCCCGCGCCGTGGGCGACCGACGGGGCCAGCCCAGTGCGCCACAGCTGCGCCGCCTTGCGCCCCGCTCCGCGGGACAGCATGGCCACTCGGCGGCCCCTCGCGACGAGGGCCGCCACGCGCGCCGCCTCCTGCCGCCGGAACACCCTCGGCCCGTGGTGCTCGTGTCCGAGGTTGCGCATCGCCCGCCTCGGGCGCAGGCCGATCTGCACGGCCCGCGCGCGGAAGCGGTGCGCAAAGCACGCGCGGTTGAAAACCAAGCCAGACTTGGCCCGCTTGGCCCGCATGCCGAGGCCTTGCACGCAACGCGTCAGCTCGACGGCGGCGACCTCGAGCTGGCTGGCCTCTGCCTCGCGGGGCCCCACGTAGTGCAGGGTGATGTCGTCCATCAGCTGCCTGGGCCGCACGTTGGGGCACATCTTGCTGAGCCTCGCCATCGTGCGGTGGGTCAGGACCAGGAGCGCCGTGGGAGCGTGAGTGCACCCCGCCAGCACGCCCTGGAAGACCAGCATGGCCAGCGACAGGCTGGGCCCCACCCGAACCCTACGAGGCTGGTGGTAGAGGTCAATCATCATCCACACGAGCCGCAAGGGAAAATTGCATTCCCGGGCCTCCAAAAGAAGCTGGCTGCTGTCCACCAGCTCGAAGCACTTGGCCATGTCACTGACCCAGGTGCCGCTTTGCTCGTCCAACAGGGTGGCCACCTCCTGCTCCAGGTTCAGGTCGAATGCCGAGTCGCTGGATGTGAAGCGGGAGCGATTGCCCCAGACCCAGGGGGCAGCATGGGTCTCCTCCCACCGCTTCCCCAGGGGACGGCGCAGCTTCCCCCGCAAGCGCGTCAGGGTGTGGAGTAAGGCAATGAGGCGCTTGCCCCCGTCCGCCTTGCTCATCTGCACGAGCTCCGACTCCACGCGCCCGTCGGGCCACATGCCCAACCGCTCGCAGGCTTCCAGGAGCCTCGCGATCGCCCGCAGCCCCTCGTCCGACACAAAGTAGAGAGACTTGGGCGCCAGGCGAGTAGGCCCCCGGGCGGTGGTGGCCGGGTAGCTCCAAATCGCCGCCCGCATGTCCTGGACGGTGATCGGCGGCAGCAGCTCCCACTGGTCGAAGTCAGCAGGCTTGGGCAGCCACGCCGCGCCGTGG